TTACTAATCACGAGCTCACATTAGCCAGCATGCCACCAAGACGCATGAACCTTTGCGTGTCTGATTGCAGAGCTGCTGTTGCAAAATGTTACATTGCGGCTGCTGTATCTCGTGTACCGGCGTGTGTGTGTGTGTGTGTGTGTGTGTGCTCCTTCGTGTGTTCAGTGTAGCATGTGGTTGGGCCGGTCTGGGGAGAGTGCTGTGTAGATGCAACAAGTAGCTGTAAGGGTGCGGAAGGGCTGGGGGCATGCTTGTGCATCTGTTCAGGACAGCTGCAGCTGCAGAGCGGGATCCAAGGCAGGCCTGTGTGGCTGCCATTCGGCAGTCAAGCCTGATTGTAGATTGTGGTCCCCGTCGAGTAGCGTTGCAGCAAGATTGTAAGTGCGGGTTTCGCAAGTCGTTGAGAAATTTGGCAGATTCAGGAGATTGATGCGACAGTGGGATCCAGACTTACAAGGCTGCGGCGGAGGGCCCCGATTTGTGCGTACAGGGAATGCCGCGACGTTGCGCGACTCCCCGCGACCCACCCGGACCCCCCGCGACCTTGCGCGACCTCTGCGCGACCTTTTGTCCCCAAGCCTGGTGGGAGGCCCCGCGACCTCACGCGACCCCTGCGCGACCGGAAACATGTATGTATATCCAGACCAGGGAGGTGATTCTTGTGCCCGCGACCCAACGCGAGTACCCGCGCCCCCCCGCGACCTGCCGCGACTTCCCCGCGACTCTTCAGCGGTTTAGGGTTAGGGTTTAGGGTTTGGGGCGTTTTTGGATGTTTTTGGGTTAACATAGTTCGGGTTTAGGGTTTGGGGCGTTTTTGGGTTAAACTAGTTCGGGTTTGAATGTTTTCGGGCTTTGGTGCCGCCTAGACTATTTCGAGGGTCTGCGCCTCTCAAAATTTTCAGGCTGAGAAGCTGTGCATGCTGCCACCACAAGAATGAGGTTTCTGAGGCCCCGCAGCCCCTCGTTTGAACAGGCTTGTGGAAGCCTAGCAGTGTGTGTGTGTGTGTTTGCGAAACCTGAGTTGCGACTTTCAGTCTTGGTGTCCCGCTGTCCAGCAAAATCTGCAAAGTAGCCCTGTCCTGGGAGGTCGGAGCCGAGACATCCTGGCCTGGAATCCGGTAAGGCCTGCCTGGCTCTTGTTGTTGGGCTGTGCAAGTTCCTACTAATGCTGCGGCAGAAAGTTGCAGACAGAGCAGACACGTGCATGCCGGTATCCGTGCAAGATGCACCATGTTGTGCAGACGGTGAATTGTGAAACGCGATTGTGTGCTGTGCCTTCAAGCTTTAGAGTACTTGTAGCCAGCCTGGCATGCGGGACCAGGCTTGTGTCGAAGGATGGCGGGCTGTGGACCTGCCAGCAAAATCCGACGTCTCGACACGGAGGTCTTCAGTCGAGTGCCTGGTGCCGGTGTAGACAATGCCAAGAATCTCGTTGATTGGCCAGCATATGCAACGGGAGGCCTGCAGGATGCTGCTGTGGCAGCCGGCCACCCGCCCAGGCATCTGGCTGAGCACTTTGCTGGTCGCAAGACGATCTACGTAAGCTCGAGCTACAGTGGGATGGGAACGTTTGAGCACTGCATGAAGCGCTTGGCAGCGGCTTGCGCTGGAGCTGTGGAGAACACTGGTGTGAAGTTCTGGTCCGCAAGTGAGTGCGACAAGGCTGTTCGAGACATGCTGCTCCAGAGTTCAGGTTGCCCTGAGCACGTCTTTGGTGACTTGACGGAGCGAGTGGACTCCAAGGTCCTGGCCAGAATGAAGCATGCAGTGGGATGCCTTCAGCACCGTGCGCAGGAGCTTGCCGCCACGAAGCAAACCCCTGCTCAGAAGAAAGTTGAGCTTGGGAAACTGAATGTGCGTTGTATGCAGAAGCTTTTGGAGTTGGCAATGGAGGCAGTTGCTGCAGATCGCGGCGGAGCAAGCAGATGTTGCTATTGCTATGTTCATGACCAACTCTGCCCTCTTTTGCCGCCAGGGCTGGACGAAGACGCTGATAGCCTCCTGCTGGAGGCAGGAGGCAACACGTGCGTAAGTTTCTCCCCGCAGGGCAAGCAGGCGAAGTGGCTGCACGACTCTGCTGTCGTTGCCGCCGTGTGGCTGGCATGGTGTGCTGGGCATTGCGACATGGTCATGCAGGAGTGCAGCCACATGTTTAATACTTCCGAGGCCATGCAAACAGCGTTTCCCCCGGACCATGGCTGGCACACTTCCACGGTGACAGTGGCGTGCAAAGACTTGGGGATCCCCATGAACCGGCCTCGCAACTTCTCCTGGACCGTTCGGCTACGCAGACTGAGCATGGTCACCAGCTTGACGTCAAGCCTGTTCTTGCAGCTCTGCGGCAGCGAGCTGCAGTGCACTGGGCACGACTTCTTCATCCTTGCCGAGGATGCAGCTCATGAGTATTTGCAGGCCACCACGGAGAAGCTTTTGCACGGCGAGGTGGGCTTTCGGAAGTACTTGTCCGAGGGCTGTCTGCAGCGGCTCCAGGACTATGAGACCTTCTACTCGAAGCAGCTCGCAGAAGGCAAGGTCGTGGAGCTGCCCGTCGTAGACCTTTCCCAGAATGTTAGTGTTAGGGCGACCTTGTCGACTATGTTGCCTTCTTTGCTGACAGGGTCCTGTGTGTGGGGCATGAAACACAACCGACCGCTGACCGCGCTGGAGCTGTTCTTTGCAATGGGATGGCCAGCTCCGGTGGTTTTGGATGACGACAATTTCCATGCAGAGTTCCCCTTCCTGCAGACTCAGTTCGAGCAGACCCATGCTCGCGCCCTGACCAAGATGGTTGGGAACTCCTTCCATTGCCGTGTGGCGGGCCTCTTTCTTGCAGCCGGCCTAACCCTCACGAAGCATCGATGATTGCATTTTGCACACTCGTGTTTCGCAAGTAGATTTGAGCAGGGCAGGGCCCCCCAGTGTCGTAGGATGTGCTATCCTTCTTTGTGCAGTGGAGACACCGTAAAGTTCGCAGGGGCATGTGCTTCGCGGCCAGAAAGTTGTGTGAGTTTGCATGTCGCTTCGTGCTCGGGCCCAGACTGAGAGGAGATTCTCTGAGAAGCATGCGTAGTACGTAGTGCGAGCTGCCTTTGTGAGTGCGACATGTTTATGATAACTGTGGCCCTGCTGTGGGTGAGCTTGATCCATCAGCAAGGGTGCTGCGGAGGTCCATCCGAAGTGCTTCGCTCTTCATTGCAGCATGGCAGCTCTCTTGGCAGAGGCCGCTTCTCTGGCTGGAGATTCAATCGATGAAGATTGGAAGCAGTTCCAGCTTCCTGAGCTGGGCCAGGAGGAGGCTAAGGTTGAAGAGACCGCCCAAGCATCGGGCAAACGTGGTCGCAAAGGTGGCGGCAAGGGCAAGGGCGGAGGTGAGAAGGACAACAGCAAGGGAAAAGGCAAGCTGGGAGTGATCAAGAAGCCGAAGGTGATCAAGGGGCCCGTCAAATGCAGGGGGTGCAAAAAGAAGATCCTCCCGGACCAGCAGGCCCCAAACTTCCCTGGCTGTTGGGGCTGCAAACGGGCGTTAGACAATATTTGGAAGTGTGCCTGTCGCCAGGGAGAACAGGCATGCGAGTTCGTGCAGGAATGCAGGCGAGACGACGAAGCCTGCTATCGCCTGGTCCAAAGTTACTTGAAGAACTGTCCGGAAAAGCTTCCCGACGGGACGACGGCCGGACGGCGCCGCGGAAAGTGGTGCATCGTCAAGTACATGGAGTCAGTCCGGGCCAGCAGTGGGCTTGTGAAAGACTGCGTAGGCGAGTTCATGTCGAAGATGGTCTACCAAGAGTTTGCATTAACGGCTCGTGGTGGACGGAAAAGCGCTGCTGAAATCGAGGCCCAGTGGGAGAATCTCGGCTTTGATTAGCCGTTTCATTGGCGATTTCACATTGATTGACAGTCATTGACAGCGGTTTGTCAATATCATTGCAACTTCGTCACAAACCTTATCGGATCGAAACTTGTTGTACACTAGTCACTAGCCAGCGCAATCTACCCACCACCTCACCACATTCCAGCTACACCACCACGAGTCGTAGCAAGTACAGCAACAGTTTTATCTTGGAGCAATTCGCTCGGACAGCTGACTCTTTTTGCTGCCCAACAGTCGATAGCTGACTATCAGGTTTAGCGGAAGCAGCTTCGAATAGGTGCTTCCTAGGACCTAGGAAGCACCGATTATTTTTTTGTACAGTCGGTCAAACCTGCGTGAAGTTGACTGTGTCGCTATATAGTCTGTCTCAGGAAGTGGGGTAAGGATGTCGAGAAGGGCTCCATGCAGCAGACCCTGTACGACTACAAGGGCCCTGGAGCAAGCTTGAGGGTCTGGGTAGCCACAAAGGACACCTTGTCCTTCCGCAGCGAATACTTTCACACCAAGGAGGTGGCCTGTGAAGGGGACTCCATCAAAAAAGGAACTGACGAAGACGTTGACAGACTTCGCAGCGAAATCATGTCAGGCCACGGCCAGGGTGTTGGCGCTGGCATGGAGCAGGCTGCCAAGGCCATGGCGTTGAATGGACAGGATGCATTTCAGGAGGGCGCCAGCGGCTTCCTCAACGTGTTGGATCTCCAGAATGATGTGTTCATGCTGGAGGCTGGTGAGGCGGACGGCGAGCAGGACAAAAACTCGACAACCACGGACGAGCCTTCTCCGAAGAAGCCCAGGTTGTGGATTGACCGGGACCGGATCGTCTCCCAGACCATCCGCACCGTCAGGAGCCAGCACGAAACCTTCGAGACCAAAGCCATGGTTCAGCTCGACAGGCAGCAGGCATACTTGAAAGCGTTCCTCAGTGAGCATGAGGCTGAAAGCAAAGGGGACTTCAAAGGCGAGTACGAGACGTTGAGGACGAGGGTCCAGGGACTCGAGCTCTGCTTGCGCAACAGGGACGAGGAGAAGGTCAAGCAATTCATTGGGTTGTTTGGCCACGTCGACTCCCCAGCTCCGCCTTGCGAGGACTATGACAAGCTCCGCCCTTTGTGTGTTTTCCCGGCCATGATTGAAGAGTACAACAAGTGCACAGAGCAAGAGCACTTGAAGGCTGGGTTGATCTGTTCGGTCAATCTCTTGTTTTGGATTCGTTGAAGTGTTTGTGTATTGAGAGTTCAATCGTCTGTGAAAACATTTGTGTCCTGGCTGTATTTTCATCTAGACGTGCATTTGAAGTTGACCTTGCGGTGGATGTGCGTTGCAGTAAGTTTCGTGATTGATTTGACAGGAAGTGAGTGCAGCTCTGGCTGCCGTTCGGGAGCCCATCTCTCAGCTGCTCGCGGGTGCCCTTCGTGCAGAGAAATCTTTGAAGGTTGCGCTCGACAAGGCCAAGAAGCAGGCAGAACAGAAACAAGCGAAGGCTCAGAAGGCGTTGGCGGCAAACGCATCGCAAGGCCTTGCGATCTTCGACCAAGGAGTTGCAAATGCCTCCGCCATCCCTGTCTTCAAGGCTGATGCTCTCGGCCAAGGAGACAATGTGCCAGACCTGTCCAAGCCTTTCATTGTGCATATCGACGAGTGGGTTGCGGAGATCAACCAAGAGATGAGCGTCACGAGGCAAAAGGTTGATGCCTTCAAGGTCATGTTTGACACACTGCGTGCCCAGCACAAAGGTAGCCGGGCATCCAAGCTGATGAAGGACCTCCTTTCAGACAAGGAGGCAGAGGTTGACTTTGAAGCCAAGGTCTATGCTCTGCTGAAGCATGTTAGCGGATTGGTTGAGACCAGCAAGCTCAGCAAAGACATCCAGGAAGTCATGGCGGTGTCGGCTTTCGGCCTGGACCAGAGCTATGACAAGGTGTCTTGCGAAAGTGCATCGATGGCATGTGCCAGGTTCAACGTGAGTGGAGCCCGTAGCGTGGTTGTGGCCCACACGCTTGAGGTCATCGGCTACATGCAGCGCAAAGGCGTGTCCGGCAACATCAGTGTTGCCCGGATGGCAAGCTTCTTCAGGAGCCTGAGTGCCACGACGATCGCAGATTTCAAGGCACAGTGCACGCTTCAGCAGGCAACTGTGGGTCCTGGCGATTTGCTCTATCTGCCTGCCGGGGCGGTGGTTGCAGAGCTTGCTCGAGCTTGCAACATTGGGTTGCGACTTCCGCTTGTCGTGAATGCCGCGGGCCATGCCAATGTTGCCATGACATTTGCGAGGCGGCGTGATGAGATCGCCCATCAGATAGAGACTTCCCAGCTCCCAGACGGCCAGAAGCAGCTCTTGAAGCAGGAGCACGCACTTGTGGAGTCCCTTGTCAAGGCTGTGAGTTTGGCTGAGAAGGCTGAGAATCCGAAGCCGGAATGTGCGGCTGAGACGGCTGCGAATCCGACACCGGAACCTGCGGCTGACGCGGCTGCAAATCCGAAACCGGAATCTGCAGGCATCAAGGATCCTGCTCAGTGAAGGCTTCAGCGGCTTGAGTCGTTTTTTTCTTTTCCTTTCGAGTGTTGAGGGGTCAGGGGCAGGGGCGAAGGTCCAAAAGCGACCTTCTTGGTCGATTCGGAGAATCGAGCATCGCACCACAGTGTCAATCTTCGCAGCCTCGTGTGCAACACAAACAATTTCAAGCAGATGTCGTCCCAAGCTCCCAAGGTTCAGCAACATAAGGATCATAATCTTGCACACGCAGGATTGCAGTAGGCTTGGGGCAGAAGAGGAAAGTCCAAGTGGGCACACACACACGTGGTTCAGATCCTGCGCGGACCGATGAAAATGATGGCAGAGCATTGAGCAGGTGCCGATGACATTGTGCACATGTCACACGTCACTCAGCTGAGCTGTGCTTTGTCGTAGCATGTCTGTGTGCTTGGACGGTCCGCCAGGTCACAACATCAGTGAGATCGTGCATTCGGCTCGGGCAGCCCAAAACAAAGTCGACGCTCAGTGGGATGTCGGGTTTAGGTCCAGGTAGTGGTTTATTTTTAAGGGCTGTTTCTGAGTTACCGGGTTATCAAGCAGGCACGAGTCAAGGTTCGATGTCTCCGCCTTTCATTTAGCCGTCATTCTTGAGTAGATGGAGATAGCAAGAGGTCGAAGCCGAAATACCTAGAAGATAGATTATATTCTTTTTATATATATACACATATATTTGAAATAGTCGGATTCTTATATTATGTTTATGTGGATGGCGACAGGGCCCAGAAGAGAAGCCGCGAAGGCCCGAACACTTCAGATATTGATGATTTTATGTTTAGCATTTATATGATTGGAACAATTGGATTTCCACGACGATTTTGAAGCCGTGGAGGTATTGATTGATATGGAGAATTGAGATGTTCCATGTAGGTGATGAACAGGATTCCACTCGTTACAATTAGGCATAACCGTTTAATCGTTCAAGCCAGGCAGTGCAAGTGCAGTTTTACAGGTGCCTTGATGTTGATTATTCAAATCTTCGGGAGCGCAGTCTGGAACATTGGCCCGTCGTGCAGGCGTGCATACTCAAGGGTCGGCTTGAGCAACAAAATCGGCAAACAGACGTCGTTGCTGTGTGGGTGCAGAAGCTGAATGCCTTCGATGAGGTCGGGCTGGTCTTTCCAGTCGAATGTTGCACACATCCTCCAATGTGATAACCGTGCATCCTCAGTTTTTTGCAACACGACCGTTTTTGGACACCCGTGCAACACACACCCAGAGTCTTTGTGATGTCCATGTCACGATAGGGCTGCCCGCATCTTTTGCGAGCACAATGCACATGGAGAACTTACAGATTCGTGCAGAAATTATGTGCTCACGCACGTTCGCCTTTAAGCGCCCACGCGTCAACGCCTGCCGCTTTAAGTTTTGAGACGGGGGATGAGGTCACGAGGTTTCCGGTTGTTTGGGGTTTCGAAATTCAATTGTCGATGATGTCCGCTCCCGCATTCAGCAGCCGTGCTCTCAACATGGGCGTTTGCTATGGTGTTGTACCTTTGCATTTGCGTTTCGCACCTATTGGTAGCAGACTTGAGGGTATACAGCGAAATCCACCATCGTGGCATGCCTGTCTCCTGAATGGCCTGTCCTGGTACTTCCCGGCGCCCTACATAGTACAGGTGCATGTGTTCCGGCATGGGTTTAGGGTTCAAGAGGCCGCAGCAGCACTCGACGCCTCTCCATAACACCCCGGAACAGTTGACCATCAACCCGGCACCAATGCTCCATCCACTCGCCGTCTTGTCCAGCAGGAGGTCTCTCGTCGCAGGGGCAGCTGGGATCGTGTTCAAAAGGCCGAGCCCGTCGCTATCGTATAGTATCTCCTTTTTAGAGTTTCTCATGTCCCACACCTACCGATCCGATTTGTGTCTTGAGTTCGTCCGTTCTTCCAGAGATAAGCAGAAGGACCATGGAAAGGCTGAGATGCCAGATGTTCATCCCAAGCTATCTCCCAGGTGTTATATCACTCAGAATAATTCATGCAGCTCGGCCAGGGCAGTCCGACTTCGTGGTCGCATTGGGCGCAAGCAGGCGCAGGCTCCGACGGATGCGACGCTGAAGACAAAGATGTTGATGGTGGTGATGATGATTACGATGACGATGGCGATGATGATGATGATTGCGACGATTGTCATGACCATCACGAACATCATAATTGCAACCAGTGAGTTCATTGACCGCTACTACTTGGAATGTTTCCGATAGTAGCTTCAGTTGTATCTTACCTTTTGAGTTGTATGCAGAACACGCAGGCCAGTTGCAGTGGTTGTAACCCATTTGAAGTATGCTGGGCAGGGTATGTTGTGAGAGTCCCCGGAAAGCTGTTTCTCAAAGAGACCAGGCTCTTGGTTCACCAGATGTTAGACACTTAATGATCACGAATCGCCCAGCTCTATCCCCGATTTTGCTCTGTAGGCCCGAAAATCATTGCAGCAAGTAGCTGGTGTCCGGTTATCCGGGCCCGAAATTGCAAGTTGTCGCTACTAGTAGGCCAAATTGCTGCAGAGGCATGTCGTGTTGGGGCCGTAAAAGAATTTCAATGGGGTCCCGCGGTACAATGCATTCACCCGACATGTTAAATAATGAGCCCTGGAAAAAATGACTCTTCCAATTATTGAGGCCCCTCGCTAATGTACTCCTCCCCAATCCGACAGGCAGCTGACACGAAAGTGGACTTGCTGCAGGCGTGGTGGATGATCGGCAGGGATTCAGTTGTCCCCTAGCTGGGGCCATGAATAGGTGCATTGAAGTTTTGGGCGCAAGACAGCTTTGCAGCAGGTAAGCACAGGACCTGTCTTGTGGGAGTGCTTATTCCACATACCTTAAAGGGTCAATAAGGCATCTGGAAACCGACCAATAGGTCAGGAATTTGGGACTTTACACCGACGGGCCTTTCAGAAGTTGCTGTTTCGTCGAGGATACCTCGCGGTTTTCGAGGCAGCAGCTTGTAACTCCCTGCCTTCATTGATGCTGTCTTCAAGTGTTCCGCTGCTGCGCAAGGAGCGATGGCAGCTTGGCCGCTGGCGCCTACGAGGTATATAGACATTTACCGTTACATTCGGTTGGTTTTGGTGTGGCATGTCAAGCCGACCACCTCCCTCAGCGGAGCTTCTTCCCCCCGAAGTGTTCGGCTAACTGACCGGTTTTGAGCCTGCTAAATTGAGCCCCTGAATTCAGCATCCTCAAGTTGAAGCATTCACAGATCGTGAGAGGCCGCACGGTGCTGGCTCCCATGGAGCAGGTCACTGCGTCCCAGTTGCAAGTTCTGCACTGCTGTCTGACATAACCAGCAAAGTTCTTCTCTGACTCTTCGAGGCACTGTGCAATCTTCGAGGTTTGTCCAGTCATGTTGCACTGGGACGATTGATTTTGCGCAATGCTTCCAACATGAGCCTTTGACCAGCTGTCCAACCAGGAGTGCCTTTTTTCAGAGTCCGTACTGGTACTGTTTAGTTTACTCGTAGCAATTAATCACTTCATTTTCTCCTGGGCTTCCTCTTAAGTGTCCTTTAAAAGTCCCCTTAAGTTGTTTTTAACTGGCCCCTCTTAAGGTCTTTCTTGGTCCCTTTTCGCCCTAGTTCCTCCCTTCCTGCAGAAAGCCTGGGGCGATCCGAGGACTGTGCTTTCCGTCGGCTTTGCTACGAGATCGGGGCGAGCTTCACTTGGAGCCTGGAATATTTAGCACTATAAACTGTTGGATTATGATCATTATTACATCAATGATTATGATTCGTGTTTCTGTGATGCCTGTTTTAATCGTTATTGGCAGGTATCTGCTATCATAAGCTGGACAATAAAGTTGTTTCTGCTGTGTTGTTCCTGATCGGCAGTTTGGTGGAGAGCTTTGCAGGCACATTCCGCAAGGCTTTGCGCAATAATCGAGCTTGCAGCATCAGCAGGCTTTATGGGTTTGGAGCAGGCAAGTAAGACCTGGAAATGCAAAAGTTGCCATATACAGTTTTGACAGCTGGCTCCTTTGCAGTGCGCCCCAACATAACTCTCCTGCCGTCCGATGCAAGGACCGAGATGGTTCGAGCCACTCTGACGCAAGAAAATCTACTTTTTAGGCAGAGGCTGTTACTTTCGAGGGCTGGCGGTGCAGCATACTAACACTGCCGTAGAGGACGGCTAGCCTGGCCTAGCTCGTGATGCATGCAGTAGCAGCTTGTCCGGGAGCTGCACAGCCAAGCCAAGGCGGCGGCACTGCTCCGTCGAAACAACTCGACGACCAGCAGGCTCCCTGTTAGGTTGAGTTCCACGAACAATTGGGCTTTGCACGTTTTTCGGCCGAGAGTGTTGCTGACCCAGAGTTCGAGATTGAAGAACTCTCAACTGGCACACGCGAAGCCCTGAACGAAGGGTTCGGAAGATGGGAAACGGACGAGATGCACGCCTGTCTACAAGCAAGAAAGATTTGAGCGGCAAGAAAGTAAGAAGCTTGGAGTGAGAATGATGCCAGCATTTGCAGCACTGCGGTGTTTGTTGCATGGGTTGGGGATTGGGTGCAAGAGATAGTGCCAAATTGTATTGGCAGCTGAAGGCAGAAACCAAATCCTGACCAACTGCTGGAGTCGGAGACTTCGCATAGTACCCGTATTCAAAACCCTGGCATCTCGCCCTTAAACGCTGAAGTCTCAGACCTTCTCTTGATTGGTTGTGTGAATTGTTCTTCACTTGGTGGTTAGGGTTGTTTGGGTCGAATCACTGTCTCAGTCTCCGGTCTGAAAGGATGGACACCTTCGATTCCTCGACACCAACAGGCAGGCGGCCGTGTTTCGACTTACAGGCCAACTCATAGTTCGAGCCAGAGCACCAAAGATTTCGGCATCAACTCCAGGTGTTCCTTGTACATTAGCAACAGCAACGAATGTAAGGGTAAACATGTTAACAGAGCACACTCATCACTTGCGTGCGTGTGCGTGTGCGTCTGTGTCTCTCTCTGTGTGTGTTTGTGTGGGTGTGTGTG